GCCCGTTCTCGGCGGAGCCGGACGGGGAAGGGGCTGCGGCTGGAAAAACAGGCGGAAAAAGCGTCGGAGGCGGCTGCCAAGAGGAAGAGGAGGGCGATCCACACCCGGGAATGCCCAGCTTGGAAAACCCACCTGCTTCGTCTCCTCGGGCTCCTCCTCGGGATCGCGGAGCTCCTGGCTGGCCAGTTTCATGGCGCTCTCCAAGACGCCCGCGAGGCTCCGATCTCCCGCCGGCGTCTCCACACCCTGGATGGGCTGGAAGCCTGTGGGAGCGGGATGGAAGCGGCTGCGGCCTTAGCCAGGGGCCTGGCTGGATTTGGGATCAAATCCGCTCCGCCATCCGGAGGTTTTTTAGAGAAGGGGCCCCAAAGATGCCTGCTGCCATTCCCGGGAAAAATACCTGGGGGAACGGGCAGTTCCGAGAAGTCCACCGGCTTCCCTGCTTTGTGAGCCCGGATGGCTTCCTGGTATTGCTGCCGGAGAAGGGCAAGGCTGAGGCCGGGCGCTCTCGTGCCGCGTGCGTCTGCCGAGCGGGACGGCGCCGGGATGGGCTCCCGGAGCGCGTTCCGTCCTCACCTTCACGATCCGCTCGTGCATCCGGGCTTTGCGGTCGTCCCCTTTGCCTCTGGCCTGCGCGGCCGCCGCTTGGTACCTCTCCATCCGCTGCTGCAGAGCTTCCAGGGCATCCCGAGGCGGAGCGGGAATGTCTGCTCCCGGGAAAAACGCTTCTGTTAGGGCTCTTCCCGGCTGCTCCGCGGAGTTTCGGGGAGTCGGGTTCCTACCTGCCGCCGGAGAGGCCGGTTGGGCTTCCGGAGTGGCCGCGGGCGTCGGAGCAGCGGGATGCTGCCGGCCGGGAGACAGCAGCTCCTTTGGAAGCTGGTCTGGGAAAAGGGAGGAAGGGATCGGTCTGCAAAGCAGCAGCCAGGAATCCAGCGGGAAGCAGGCAAGATAGCTGCGCTTTGCCGGCGCTTCCCGGGCTCGGGAATGCCTGCCCTTCCTCGGAGCGTCACCCACGAGCTGCCGCTTCCCTCCTTACCAGGAGAAGGGGGAATGCTGCTGGGATCCACCGGCTGGCCCTTTCCCACCGCTTCCAGGAGCGGGTCGAAGCTCTGGAAAAAGCCCCGGAGAACATCAGAACAGTTTTCCATAAAACCTCCAGGCCGCAGGGATTCCGGGAGGCACCTTGGCGAGGAGCACATAATTCGCAGCCCTG